AATTCCACGGCGTCCGCTGTTTACATGGCGACGCCGGTCGCTGAAATATTCATGAAACAAACTCTCGCCGGATCGTCCCTGCCTGCAGTCGCTCTCGATGGTCCCTTTTGTCAACCCCGTGTTATACGCGCTCATTTTCCCCGTCTTTGTTCCTTTCGTCGAACACTTGACACGCTCGTCGCCCGACACACACGTTTATGTCGCCCGTAACATTTCCGCGCGACCACGAACCCGCGTCTCCGGCTTCACCACGGATTTCACGGTCCACCATCCACCCCCGCGAAATTTTTTTTCATCCCTCTGCCAGTCACGCGAACCTATCGGTTGACGTACGATAACTACTCGTTCCCAGCTCCTGCTAGTCTAGCTTTCTTGACCTGGGGGTTCGCCAATAGGCCGAATAACAATTTGCATATACTGTGAAACTCTTACTTGACGTATTGGGGATGAGAATAATAGACACAGTGCCTAAATGACGCCATTTATCTCGGGCGATATGATTACTGGAAAGAAGGAGATTAAGGGGGTTGTAGAATTCGAATAATTATATTTCCGTATTTATGTTGAATTAGTATTGATAAAGGGCTCGTGAAAGTTGGTAAACTCGTATCATAACACCCTCTAGAATAAGGTTTATTCGTATAATGCTTCGTTTTCGAGATAATTGAACTCAGATTAAACGTTAGCTGGAGCATCTGACCATTCCTAGATTTTTCTACTTGAGTCGATGTCCAAGTCGTTCTTTCGTTTATACAAAAATAAAAGTATCTACGTAAAATGTTGTTCAGCATCTACGACTAATATTTTTACATAAAATCACTTTTTCTCCCTAACCCAGGCTTTTCAAACTGGCTCAATGGGATATGTCTATCATAACGCGTAAGGATTTTTTGTTTAATCAGACTATTTTAGAAAGAAATTTATAAAAGTGTCGTTTTGTAACGATACAATGTATTCTCCAATCCGTTTGTGCAACCGAAATTATTTAAACCCAATAAAAATGTAATTGTCATACCTACCTGTATCAGCAATCGACCCCTGTTTTTAATACTTAATTAAAACGCATGTGAAACGAGTAAGATTAACGGAAAAAATTATTTATAAAAACCTAATAATAATGTTCTAAAGAGATTTGGAAGTCGTTCTTTAGTGGACTGATAATTTATACACAATTTATGCTTGTTGCAATTGACTTCTATATCGAATCGTTCCGATAGTAAAATTTGCAAGAAATAAATGTTAATATTCGACTATCCAGCAATGTTACGAAATTTTATAAAGATTTCTATTAAATTCTAAAGGATTATTTAATCCATTAACATATTTATATTCCTAAAATTTGTTTTTAATAGGAAAGATTTAATAATTTATAATTTAATTTAGTATCGATTTTCGATGGCCAAAACGTGACACATCTTGGCCCTACCAGTGTGCAATTTTATTTACGCAAACGAAATTGATGCCAGAATTGCAGGAGAAATATTTAAAACGATCACGTTTAATCTCTCAATGGTATTTATTTTGAACAAATATTGTTTCATGTACGCGAAATTGAACATTTTCACGGTACTTTGTTTACGAACAATTTTTGAAAAATCAACAAACACGAAACACTGTTTACACGCTGCTTGATATATTTCTAATATAAAGTTATCGTTGAGGGCAAAAATAGCAGTTCAGATAAGCACTCTTTTAAATTAAGTCGACACAAATGTGCATCGTTTCAAGAATTCTAAAATTAATGAAGCATCCACGAATTATATTATAACAAGCTCGAAACGAAATCAGTCCAGAAATAAAGTAAAAGATTAATCGACAAAATATCATAATCACGAACGATCATTTTGAATAGAAAAATTGTTCCTTTATTATTACTGTCCCGCAATCAGCCATTCGAGACTACTTATTTTCGTTAGAAAAAAAACAATGGAGGATCGTCGTTCTATTCTTCGATCTACTTCGATATTTTTTATCCAAGGGGGACAATGGGAGTATAAAAAGGAGAAATATCTTCGCGTAACTGAATCGTCCTCCAATCACAACGCATTTTCGGTATGTATACCAGTGTATTTACAAAATTACATATATATTTATATATCGAATATCGCTGCAAATTGAGTATCACGTGTGTATCTATGCATATGTGTATGTGTGTATGCGCGTAAGTGTGTCTGTCTCGTATGTCCTTAAGCAATTAGATTTCACGCACGTGGTTACTGCCACGTGCTCGCTATGTAGGAAACCTTCTAAACGTTACAATTTAAATGTAATCCTTTCTTTTCTTTTTTTTTTGTCCATTTTTTCTTTTTAATAAATCTACATCTACGCGGTAGAATCGTGCCCTTCGAGCGAGCTACGCGACGTCGGCGGCTCTTCCTTTGGCATACGTGTCGTTCTCCACTGGCACCGCGTTTCTTATTCGCTCGCAATCGACCGGAATCATTCGTACAAAATTGGCAGGAATCGTTTCCTCGATCTTCTGCACCTCGAAGATTATGTGGCGTTGCTCTGTTGCGGGTAGGAACTCGGAGAATTTCATAGGACAGAAAAGGAAAGGAGGGGGGAGCGTTTCGTCCGGGCCTGCTAGTGGACTCATCAGTAAGGCTTTCTAGCAGGCCTTAGACGACTAGATATTGGGAAGTCGTTCGAGGATTGTATAGCAACCGAGAGGTCGCTCTGGTGGCGAGCATGGGAGGCGACGCCACAATTATATATCGTCGTTGTGAGGGAAAGTCGAACGGTGTTTACCACGAGTAAAACTTGAACGCTTGCAATTCTCCACGGAGCAACGTTGCTGACATTTCGTACGATCTCTCGTCGGTAGCGAGTGAACCTCGAACAGGGCCCTATTAGTCGATTAATTCGAGCTCCCGATTACGTTTATACGAGTGTCTCAATTTACAGTTCGAAATTACAACTACGGATCCAAAAAATACGTCGTCTAGGTAAATAATGTACAAAAATTACGTGGCTCTCGTCTCTGCATCTTTATTAACAAACGCAAGACTCCTGCGGAGGAACCGCTTACTCTTTTGGTTTTGGCGTTCCGTCCCGGGCAAAAGAAAGAAACGGACGCGATCGCCTATCGAGATCCTCACCCCCGGCAAACCAAAACGCAAGAAACGAGGAATTCTCGACGCGATCCCTGGCTAACCGTGCGATTCGCTCGATCAGCAGGCAGCCGCGTAATTAGCGCGTGCACTCGCTCGACGATTAGGCGGTCTATCCGGGCCGGTAATTAACGTTGGCATCGTTAGCGCGTTAGTCTCGTTTACCCTCCTCCCCTTTGCTGTACCAAATAGAGGGGCTGAAAGGGACGGGCACACGCGCGCGCGCCAGTGTGTACACGTGCGTGGGTGTGGAGAGACGAGCGGAGGAGAGTCGGTCGGCGTTGGCTCGTACGGATTAAAAATAATAACCGGTGACCCTCTGGCTCTCGGATCCTTGCATTAAGCGTTCTATTCTCTTCTGGAATGGTCACGAAAACGACACGAGTTAATTTAAGGGTTCATCCGTGGAAGTTACGAAATTTGGCAATTTTCATGAATTTTTTTTTAAGAGAATGCTACGTCTAACGTCGTGATATTCTGTTTTATAGTTTATTTAACTATGTTTCAGTAGTATATTTATATTTTTCATACGGGGTTAACTAATTGTTATTAAACACATGTTTTAATAATCACGTCTCGCCTGGCGAGGATGATCGGAGCTCTCAGGGTGGTCTAAAACCAAAAACTTGGAAGGATTCTCTAATTAGTATGTTTATCGTTCTTATCTGTGCCAAAATAAATAATTTATATTGTGAATTCGCAAAATGGCGAATACTGAAAGTGTACATTTCAAAATCGTATTTTTTTCGGCAACCTTTTAATAAAAAAAATTTAATTTTGGTACCAGTGAGAGCTAGTTTATCAGATTTTGTCTACGACGGAAAATTATGTATCGAGAGATACGTGTTCAAAGTTTTATACTAAAATTAAGTACTAAATTTTTAAAAACATCACATGAAATACTTCTTTAAATATTTAATACTGCATTCCTCAACACATGTACTTTTGAAAAGTGAACAGAGAAAAGAGTCGAGTGCTTGAAGGTGTTATAGAATAACCCCTTAAAGTCAACTGCGAGGAGAGACGTCGACAGACTAGATGGACAACTTCTTGTTTCCTTTTTCGACAAGACTATCCGAGTAGACGCGTTCGATCGGCTATAAATCGGCGCCAAGGGTTTAAATAGACTCGCCATGCTGTAGAAATGCGTAACCGAGTCGTGGTGGGAAAAACGGAGAGTGACAATGATCGATCTTCTGATTGACACATTCCACGGATACGAGGATTCTTTCACAGCACCCCGATGATTACGTGCTCTGGAGAAACGAGACCACGTCACAATCGAAGCTCTAGATCGGTGCTTTCCAAACTTATTGGAACCCTGCTCCTTAAAAAGAACACTTCTGTAATCGAGATATGTCCGCAGGTTTAACACAATTCCAAGTATAATATTCAATTGAAACTTAACTAAAAAAGGATGGACTCAGGTGTTTCTATGTACAAAAGTAAGTCGAAAAAGTAGAATAACATTTCTTCGTTGAAGGCTTTCTCTCTGAGATAATTAAATTTAAACATGTCCCTGGATCAAGTGAAAGGTACTACGCTTGGTCTGACGCGTCTGACTCTAATCGTGTTTCTACTACTTACGCTCGACGAATCTTCAAGGCTGATTTTCTCGAAAACAGGACTTTGAATTGAAAAATGTTATTCTTTTTTTTCTACTCACTTTTATACGCAGAACCACTCCTCCGAATACACTCTGCATACTACTGACTTTTACAATGACAAATCAAACAATTTTGAATTATTCAGTCCAATATTTAGGTAGGAATTGAAATATTCACAAGCTGGAGAATCAGAGGACGTGATAAAACGATACAAATATATTATTAGGTCGCCTCATATATTCCAACAGTAAACCCCTTCTTGTTTTACAACTCTTTCCCCTTCTTTTGGCAATATCATCGCTACAAAATTTATTTGATTTTTTGTTGAAGTGTAGTTTAACGATGTTCCTTGAAACGTGGATAATTTCAAATTGTTTATCCATTACTAAGTCTGGAGACTGTTGTATACACTCGTGCAGTTATTAAGTCGTTTAGGGGAAGTTTGGTTTATTATACGCTCACAAAAATATTCATGCAGTCAAGCTCAAGTACGATCATGAATATTTCCTTTCCATACTTCGAACATTGACTCAATATCTATGTATTTCAAATTTCTATGAGTTGTTAACGTTTAGAATTTTGGAAATCCCCTGAACTGACTAATTTTGTCTTCTACTAAATTACAAATATGTTATCTTCGTTAATTCGAGAATTTCGAGCCGCACTTATGGGATGACCTAACATAACTATCGTTGAAGTTTAACCCCTTGACGTACGATTTAATTTCAAATAATTTTTCAAACGTGTACTATTTAATTTTGTTTAAATCTGTTCGTACAAGAAGTGGTCACGAGAAAGAATAGATTTGTTTTACAAATACCTCGTCAATGTAAAAATATGTTGATTTTAATAGGTAAGACTCGATGATGAGTAAGTAGCCTCATGATTATGAAACATTTCATCAAGAACTTGTAACGAGTCAGACTCGTTATTGTATGGCAAGGGGTTAACGATGAATATAAAAAGTGTTCGAGTTATCCTCGTCTTTTCATACACCATTCTTCTGGGCACCATATTCTTGAGAGAAACGGAAGCTGTTCGCGTTCCGGAGATCTTGACAATCGAACGCGTTTTCTCGAAAATTGCCTTCCTACGATACGAATATCCACGCTCCAGGTCACCGGCGTCCGAACGAAAATAATATCCTCGTTTCGCTTTCCCAGTCGTTGACGTCGAGTGTCCCATTTCCCTCGAAAAAGAACCATGGAAACAACAGGAACTAATTTAAACGAGGCTTTCGACCAGCTACGAATCGCGTGGAGCATTTAAATCGTAACAATGCGTAGCCACGAAAAAAACGAAATCCTTGCACGAGATCGTATAATTCCATACTAACACGCGATCACGCGTGCTCCAGCAAAATTCACGAGTTTCGTGTCCCCTTGTTTCTCTATACTCGTTTCGAAATTTACCCGATCCTTCGATTCTTACGTACAACATTCAACGTTCAACTTCTTACGGACCCTCCGCCTGTCCTTTCATCCTCGGACGAATCGTTCCTCCCCGTCGCGTCCATTAATCCTTCGTAACCGCGAAGAAACGCAGAGACAGAAACTCTTCCGTGGAGGCCACTTGACGTCGAAATTGCGCTAATTCTGATGATTTACCGCGGCCCGGGTAAACCGGCCTGTCAGAAAGACAGATACAAATACGCAAGACCGTTCTAATTCGCGGAGAGCACGCGAGGACGCGTGCGTGGCCGACGCCGCATTCATGAATCGTCTCCCCCGCCCGCGTCGCCCCCGCCTATGTTTGTTTCCTTCGCCCGTTGTATTCTTCCTTAATTTATCTTTCCGTAACGATCGCCCCGTGACTTCCTCCTCCGCGGCGTGGAACATCGTCCCGAAGAAAAATTCGCCCGTACCGGAAACCAACCGGGTTTTCGTTGCACGCTCGATCGAAACGCAGCGGCACGATCGACATCCTCGATCGTCCGATGAACCGTGTTATCGGTTCGATTGGCGATTCAGGTGCACGCTCCTGGTGTCCAGGCGTTCTCCACGTTCGGCTATGACGCTAAGCGCGGAATCCCCGGTTTTCTGACGACGGACGCATTCCGCGGCCGCGAAAGCGCTTCGACGGCATCCGGATAATTCTCTGGTGGATCGCGGGGCGTCCAGATGCCTCCGTTCGGACGTGGACACGCGCTGGATGCGGTGCTCGGGCGAATAGCTTTTGTCGGCGTCGCTGCCGCCGGCATTCGTGCTGTCGCTGCTGTTGCTTCGCTCGTTGTCGGCCAGGGGGGAACAATGGGTCGCGACGGCTAGGTCGCCAGGTTCTGCAACACACAATGACACGCAATGATGAACGATGGGCGCTCACGGTTCTCGTTAAAACGGTTAAAACGCCTAGTGCGTGAAACGCGCGAATTCAGCCTCGAACCTGTCTACGTACGCCACCCTTTCTGCTTGTTTTGTTTTATTATTGTTCGGAGTCAGCTTTCACGCATTGTTTGGGGGAATTAAAGGGACATCCGCGAGGGCTCGCTCCGAACGAACAAAGGGGATTCGACCTCTAATTCCGCGCGACAATGTCCGTTAACGAATGGCGAAGAATTTCGAAACATCCGCGCCTTTCGAACTCGCTAATTTTCGGCCGGTCGCCGGCTGGGGAATTCATTGGTCGAACGTCGGGCGTAACTCGAAAGAGGTGGCCACCGGAACGCCAGGGACGATTCATCGCGCAACGCCGGTAAAAGGAGGACTTCCGGCGATTAACCGTACGGGGGTCATGAACTTTATTGCGTGGAAATTTTGTGGGAGGACGGGCGAAACGACGGAAACTGCTCTACAATTTTCGAGTGACTTCGCGCCCTCGAACATGGGGTCCCTTAATCTTCGAACGTAAACAATTTTTCAAATGTGGAGAGTACTGGGTGAATTTTCTGTATACATACGTTGACAATTTCGAGGGTTGTTTTGCGTTTGGATATATTTTAATTCCCACTCAGTAATCTATTATAGATTGAATACGTTGCGAAACTGTTGACAGGGAAATTTGTTATTTAATGCGTTGCAATCTTTTATTTTAACAGCGAGAAATTAGAACGAACTGTACTCTGTGGTCGTCTGAAATGTCAAAAAAGACATTTCTTTCTGTATTTATTGATTGTATTAAAGAACAATACCGATAGAAAGGTTCGAACACAGCGAGAGTTTGTCCTTCGTGAATTTAAAGCGCGCACTGAGATTTTCGAAGGTTACTTTTCGCCTTAATATTATGCTCTTTCGAAAATCCGTGACTGGACATCGGTCTTCGAATTCCGGAACATTATCTCCGGTTCGTGGCAAGTGTGCTCGTCGATCACAGACGACAAGATGAACTGGATGTAACATTAATATTTGCTATTCAACGGTACACAGCATCGAGTTAATTAAACACCAAACAGAACACAGTAATACATCACCGAGAGTACACAGTACTTGCGTTCGTATCTATTTGAACGCTAACCAAAACCCGCACGGAATCATCAACTGAAATAAGGTAATCAATATTTTGGAAGCTACTGATACCGCAGCAAGCAAACGATCGACAAAATTACCGCGACAGAGGGAGGAACGTTTAAAATCGAAACGATTATAATTCTGCTTCTTACGAATATACAACGTGTTTATTGTGATACTAAATTAATGCAAAACTGATCGGTAGAATCGTATTGAAATACGAGTCCATTTATTTATTAAACAACCCTTGTGTTTAGGAGACAATGCGTTATTGAAATCTTCAACAAAATTACTATGGCATTAATGGGAATGTTTACAAAATTGGCACGAATACAATTTCCTTTCTTAACAATCTACAAAGTTTTTAATGTGATACTGAATCAACATAAAATTGATCGATGGAATTGTGTTGAAATTCGTGTCAATATATTTATAAATAACTCTTGTGCTTACGGAGTCATGTTCAAATTAAAAAATGACGAGTTCGAAGAGATGTTATATAACGTGTCAGAACGACGCAAGTATATTATTAGGTCGTCCCATATGTTTGAAAGATTCATTTGGAACACAACTAAAAAAGGATACAGCCGGGTGATTTTACGTCCAAAAGCAAGTCGAAAAAGTAGAATAACATTTCTTCGTTGGAGGCTTCCTTTCTGAGATAATTAAATTTGAAAATATCTCCGGATCAAGTGAAAGTCACTACGCTTGAGTTTGACGCGTCCGACTATAATCGTGTTTCTTCCACTTGCAATCGAAGAATTTTCAAGGCTGATTTTCTTGAAAACGGGGCTTTCAACTGAAAAATGTTATTCTTTCTTTTCCACTCAGTTTTGGATGTAGAACCACTCTTAGTCGATTCCATCACCCTTCCGAACACACCCTTTATGCTAGCGAATTTACAGTGAGATAGACAAATAATTTTAATATATTGGGTCCATTATTTAGGCAGAAATTGAAATGTTCATGCAATTGGATGATCGCGGCACGTATTAAAACGATACAATTATATTATCAGGTCGTCTCAAATGTTCGAAGTATTTGATTGAAACACAACTAAAAAATGGTGTACCCAGATGATTCTACGTACAAAAGCAAGTCGAAAAAGTAAAGTAACATTTCTTTGCTCTAGGCTTCCTTTCTGAGATAATTAAATTTGAAAATTTCTCTGGATCAAGTGAAAGTCACTACGCTTGAGTCTGACGCGTTCGACTATAATCGTGTTTTTTCTACTTGCAATCGAAGAATTTTCAAGGCTGATTTTCTTGAAAACGGGGCTTTCAACTGAAAAATGTTATTCTTTCTTTTCCACTTAGTTTTGGATGTAGAACCACCCTTAGTCGATTCCATCACCCTTCCGAACACACCCTTTATGCTAGCGAATTTACAGTGAGATAGACAAATAATTTTAATATATTGAGTCCATTATTTAGGCAGAAATTGAAATGTTCACGCAATTGGATGATCGTGGCACGTATTAAAACGATACAATTATATTATCAGGTCGTCTCAAATGTTCGAAGTATTTGATTGGAACACAACTAAAGAATGGTGTACCCAGATGATTCTACGTACAAAAGCAAGTCGAAAAAGTAAAGTAACATTTCTTTGCTCTAGGCTTCCTTTCTGAGATAATTAAATTTGAAAATTTCTCTGGATCAAGTGAAAGTCACTACGCTTGAGTCTGACGCGTTCGACTATAATCGTGTTTTTTCTACTTGCAATCGAAGAATTTTCAAGGCTGATTTTCTTGAAAACGGGGCTTTCAACTGAAAAATGTTATTCTTTCTTTTCCACTTAGTTTTGGATGTAGAACCACCCTTAGTCGATTCCATCACCCTTCCGAACACACCCTTTATGCTAGCGAATTTACAGTGAGATAGACAAATAATTTTAATATATTGAGTCCATTATTTAGGCAGAAATTGAAATGTTCACGCAATTGGATGATCGTGGCACGTATTAAAACGATACAATTATATTATCAGGTCGTCTCAAATGTTCGAAGTATTTGATTGGAACACAACTAAAGAATGGTGTACCCAGATGATTCTACGTACAAAAGCAAGTCGAAAAAGTAAAGTAACATTTCTTTGCTCTAGGCTTCCTTTCTGAGATAATTAAATTTGAAAATTTCTCTGGATCAAGTGAAAGTCACTACGCTTGAGTCTGACGCGTTCGACTATAATCGTGTTTTTTCTACTTGCCCTCGACGAATTTTTAAAGCTGATTTTCTCGAAAGCAGAGCTTCAAAATGAAAAATATTATTCTTTCTTTTCTACTTACTTTTCCACGTAGAACCATCCTTTACAGTGAAAAATTCATATAATTTCCACTCGTGCTTATTTACTGATTAAACAATCCTCGTGTTTACGAAGTCGTATCGAAATTAAAATATGGCGTGTTACTGAAACGAAGAAGCAAGGATCGCGCAAGGGGAACGCGATACGTCGACTAATTTTCCAGCGGGCGCCGCGGCGCAAATGAAAAACGGACGTCGTATAAATCCTGTGCGGCAGGATACGAAGATCTCCGTAGCCGATCGCAATTTGCACGATCTCCGATATTGCTGCCGGCTCGTTTCGCGTCGTGAGATATTAACGCCGCCGTGGCGAACCCTCTGCTCTCCTGCCTCCCACGCCCCGAATCTCGATCACCCTGTCGCATCTAGGTTCGCTGTCTGCCCCTTCCGGCGTATCGAGTCCGTCTCCGGTGTCCCCGAATTAACCGTAGCGAGCCGATCTGTGGTGGATTCGAGTTCTACCGTGGACTGTACGCAATCAGCTGCTAATTGGGAAATGATTGGAGCCACCTAGCTCGATAGCATCGTGCCTCTAACTATCCCCACGGCCACCGCGCGGCTCGTAGCCCCGATATAAATGCCCCCATAAATGCCAAAACGGACGCACAAACGCGTACGTTCGATCCGTGCCGCCAGCGTACGCGCTTCCAACGAAAATCGCTTATCGATCTTTCCGTGGTTTACACCGGAGAAAAGCACAAACCCAACCTGGAGGCTCGTAAAATTACTTTCTCCTCGAAGAATGTAAATTACAAATTTAAGAACTCTGTTGTACCACGCCATTTTCTATTGCAGAGGGCATAAACCTGACTGTATGGTTTCAAATGTTTAATAAAAAAGAGTAAAATTCCGTCAGATACTGATATGGGATCCGTATATTTTTATTACCATTGTAGCGGCCATTTTATAGTCACTAGGATAATTTTAAGCCTTCTATTTTAAAAGACGTTGTCGCGATCACAGTCAATGTATCACAGATTAATGTAACCTGCGTGTGGCTACATCCTCACACAGCAAATAAACTTTTATAATTGGGGGTAGCTAGTTGAAGTATTATTTAATCACCAGCCCCCTCGCCATAACCGTTTGGCTTTGTTAAAATATTTTTGAAAAGCAGAGGTCTTCTAGCATCGATCAAGTCTCCGACGAATTTACATCCGTATTTCGCGTCCAAGTTTCGGATAGTAGACCACGGGATGCTCTGTTCGAGCGTAATTTCACGAAAGATCAGAGCCAGAAAATTAAAGATATTCCTTTGAACTTTGTACGTTCAAAGGGCCGAACAGAATACGCAATCGGCATAAATATTTACCGTTCGCGATGTATCTCGCGGTCGCTCGTAATTCTTTTTTTTTTTTGCTCCACGCGGATAAATGTTTTATGAGGCCGTTAATCAAACGAAAGGATCCCCTCTCTTTGCACGCCCCCGGTGAGGCTACGAAATTGGAGCGTACCGGAAGCTGCCGCGTTGGCTTCGAATCGTTTAAAGATCCGAAACGGGTTCCACGAAAAATCGAGCAACGTTGTCAGCCA